TCGTAATTTGAGAGAGTTTTATTTTAATGAAGCACATTGGATTACTGATAGAACTATAAGTTGTATTTTAAACTCATGCTCTAATTTACGATGCTTAGGTATACTGGCTAGTCGTGAAAAAATCAAAGATGCAACTACATTAGTACAAACTCACCTCAAATTAGAGTACCTTGATTTCGTCTATGTTATGGCTTTTCGAAACGATTCTCTTATTGTAGCTATTATTAGATCTTCCCCAAATTTAAAACATTTCAATATTTCTGGTAATGATATTGGTGATGAGGTTATTGAAGCACTAGCCCACATATGCCACGAATTAGAATATCTTGATCTTGGAGGGTGTGGATTCATTATCGAACCATCGATATGTAATGTTATTTGCTCCTGTCCAAAACTTCAGCATCTTAATCTTGGATTTTGTAACATTTCCAATACAACCATTGAAGAAATAGCCCGTTCGCGTCCTAATTTAAAATATCTTGGTTTGGAAGGCTGTGAAAATATTAGTGAAAAGCTTGTGAAATGACTTAATCTGAGTATACATATAAAAAATTACGATTCATCGAATGAACTGTCTGATTCTGAATCCAGCTCCGTCACTTCTGATGATGATACTTCGGATTCTGATCTACCTCCACTTATTCTGGATCCATTAAGGGTATCTCGAAGCGTTATTTTTACCAGTGGACCTAATAGAGCAGTTATAACCAATACATTAAATATAACAGATATTATTTCTGCAATTAGAGTATCATCAGTATTGACTAATTCAGAATGAATTTATTTATTAAATAGTCTTGCTCAATCCGTTAATCAATGATTACATCAATTATGCGTACTAGCTTTGTTAAAATAATCAATCGCGATTATCGGGATTTTTATGTATTGCATTACACGTATACCGCCTGTGATACATGTTGAGAATCGAAATCCATTTATTTCGAAATAGGGCCGTATTACATCTAAATTAAGTAACAAACAAAACTATCGAGTGATACATGGGAAATTGTCAATTATC